TCGTGTGCGTGTTTGTGGAGAAAAGAACACTGTGAACTTCGTTATTACCTGACCTAAAGGCTTTTCTGAGGGATGCCTCAGTTCTCACAACTGTTTTGTGTCCTCAGGCTCAAAAGAATGATTAAAACTTACGTTCTTTGGGTAGCCGCCCTGGGGGTGAATGTAGACAAGCTGTGTTAAATGCAGCTGAATAAATGTTGTAGAAATGATCAGTGTTTCTTTGGAAGCTGCTTTACCCTTTTTCCTTGCTGTCCCCGTTGCAGGTGCATGAACGTGGGAGGAACAGGGGAGAGCTTAGGCTGAAATCACATCATTTCCCCACTGAAACTGGTGTCCTGGTCACTGGTAGATTATCAGCTGCTCTGTTTCTTGAGGAATCCTGCCGCTGACTCTTCTCCAGAGGCAAAAGTTTACTTTTTCAAGGAAATGTGCTAGCAGCAGGATCAGGGAAAATGCTGTGGTAATGTGGCCATGTTTCTTTTCCTTGCAGAACCACTGGAATACTGCGTGACCATGGATTTTATCTTGTAGTGCCTCCGTTTCCCCATTCAGACCTTGCTGTTAATGATCATTAGAGTTTTGGAGTAAATTTGGAAATCTACAGATGAAAAAGGATTTTGCCTGTATCTCACTAATAGGATCCTGCAAAATCTATCAAAATTACTATCCTGTCAGGAAAAATCATGCATAGGAGAAAAAATACTGCAGAATCCACACTAGCGTTTGCAGGATTTTGCAAATTGTAAATTTTCAGTGAAAATAGCATGAAGGCCAGTTTCTGCTTGCTTTGCACGTGTGTGAAATGAGCAGTTGTGTGGTGGGGATGTGCTGCCAAGGTCTTAACAATGGGGTCTTTCAGAAGTGTCCTCTCCCCCTGGCAGTAAACCCTGCTTGGTGACATGTGTGTGCACACAGATGAGAGGCGCTGAGGAAACGGTTCCTTTGTTTCTCTTTTTAAACCCACCAGCTCTTTTATAATCCCAGAATCTGTACAACCTGGTGTAGCCCTGTTACACACTTTCTGTTCATCTAGACAAAATAGGATATTTGCCACTTTAATTCCTGGTAGCTTTACTACTACAGAAAGGCACAGCTGGAGGGGTAATATGGTATGCATTTGAGGATGCTCTAGGGATATCTGGTGTATATTCCCATATGTGAAAACAACCGAAGTTATAATGTGGTGTGACTGGAGGAGGAGAGGAGCATTCAAAGTATGTTATAAATTCCATCTCAGTAAATTTTGGTGGTGCACACAGATTTAAGAAAAACGCGTGGCAACCAAGTTATTTCATGCATGTGTTGCGAATTTAGGCATTTTCAGACCCATAGAGAATCCAGTTTCTCTGACTGAGGTCATAGAAACTTCACTGCAATAGGATATGTGTAAAGGTCCAGATGTGACATGCTGAGAGTATGCTCAGTGACACAGAGGAGCTCCTGTTAAACCATCTGTGGATGGGATCTCCCTGGGACTGGTGCATATTTACCTGTGTCTCAGACATGTTGCCCTTCCCAGATCTATGCCAGAGGTGGAAATACAATCCTGGAGATCTGGAAAGCAGGTTTGGGAGAGCTGTGAAAGGCTATCCCTGGTCCCTGGAAAGAGGGCACACTGAGAGAAAGCAAGTCTTCTGTAGCCAATCCATTCCTCCCAGCTCGTGTTCTTGAGAGAAAATGCAAACTTGGAACCAAGTGTGCAAGGTCTTGGAAATCATCTTGGTAAATACGAGGTAAATTGAGTAGAATGACTTGAAGACCTAAGATCCTTCATCACAGCGGCAGCAAGGTACAACACACTTCCGAAGAAAAATCTTTGCAAGGTCTAGTCTGATTCGGTTGTGTTCAATGCCATGAATAGTTATCAAGTGGCTATAATTCAGCTGAGAGAGGGTGATCTACAGAACGTCTTTCTTAGAGAGCCCCACATATATGGAGAAGTATCCTCAGTAACATACTGGCATTGTGTATGAACACAGCTGATGCAGTTACATTTAGAGGTACAATTTTTCATTTCAGTGAAAAAATAAGATGATGATCAGATGAATTTTGAAGGTTCTATGTCTCTGTCAACAGCAGATTTCTTATTTTATCTTCTGAAAGTAATATGTTATTTGGAAAAGAGCTAAAACTTACATTTGTATAATATGCATGGTTATTTTATGTCAGGAAAGGTGTTATTAGTGCCATTTTATAGCACAGTATTTCTTGACTTCAGAAATTTGAAGATGGCTTGCAAGCATAAGCGCCTGTCAAGGTTATAGTTAAGCAACTAAGAGATGCATTCAGTTTTTCATTAACTGAAATTAAATAAATGATCTGGATCCCATGTTACCTGCCTTTGCAATGTAATATTTCAGTATGTTCCCTGATAAAAAATGCTTGTTACTTCTACTGTTAAAACTTGCCTACTGTTGAATGCAAACATCTCTCAAGATCAAGACCCCAGATCATGGCCAAAAAAGGCCTAGCTGAAATGCCAGCCAGGGAGGTGAAAAGGGAGGTGCTGCCCTATCACCTATATATGTTTCAGAACCTTGTATGTTCAGAAGATAGGGAGCTTCTAGTGACTGGAATGGAAAGGTCTTGTATTCTATTCTCCACAGATTTTTTTTTGACTCAGGAGGAAGGTCTGGTTGTGATGAATACCTTGCTGAACCTTTTTTTCCACTCAGTTTCCCATTAGAGTGTTAGAGGGTACAATGTTATTTTTATCTTTGCAGTATTTCTGCTTACAAAATGTACTGTCTTTGCATTTACCAGGTGTACATAATACAACTGCTGAGTTCAAGCAATTGCTGTATTTTGCCCGATGGGACAGATGGCTGTTTCAGTGCTGGAATTCAAGTTGGAGAAATATCACAAAAGTAATTTCCTGAAATACTGAACGACATAAGTGGATTAGGTCACTCTTACAGTCTCTTTGTATTTCCTTTCTGTAAACTTTTGAGAGACTTGAATTTACTGTAGTTACTTATCCTGGGCAACTTTTGCTAAACATTCAGTAAACAAAATTTATTATAGGGGGTTGAATTTGGGATTTTTTTTTAATTTTTTCCTCTTCATGATGGGAAGTTCACAAGTAACAGTTACTTTGGGGTTTGTCTTAACCACTCACAGTTAAGCAGCAATGTTAAAATGTCTGGTAGAGCACAGTCAGTCCAGAAGGGAAAATGGCTTTCATAAATTTAAATAGTGAACACAGTTCTGGAAACCATCCAGAAGGGAAAATGGCTTTCATAAATAGTGAACACAGTTCTGGAAACCGTGATGAAAATACACAAGTTATTTGACAGACCAAAGAGGATGTACTCTATGAACTTCCACAGAGGGCAACTGATCCAGAAAAAAACATGTGGAGAAGGAGATTTCCCAATGAAGATGGTGCTTTCAGAGAACTGGGTAATCAGGTTGTTTCTGATACGCCACGTAGTGGGGCTGCAGCGGCCAAGCAAGGGTGACTGAGTCAGGCTGCTGGAGCTTGGGGTTTCTGTGGTAGCGGGCATCAGGCTGGAGAAGCTAAACCCTGAAATCCCTCTTGTCTTTCAAGTTGACAGTGTGGGAAGCAAGGCAGAAACGTCTTAAAAAGGACGAACACTGTGATGTGTGAGGAAGGAGATCAGTGGGGTAGGGCAGAAGGAAAACAATCTTTGCAAGACAGCTGTGGTTGTGGTCAAGATCCTGAGGTAAAGGGTGTCTGACTTCAAAGTTGTGTCAGATGAACTTGACTTAGTTCAAAAGTTTAGAGTGCTTGATTTGGATTTGCATTAGTAGAACAGGAAAAGAGATAGGAGTAGAACTGATGAGATTTAGGGGTGCGACAAATCACAGCCTGTAAAATATCCACCTTGCAAAATCTGGAAATGAGAGCACGATTCCTGAACGTCAGTGCCCAGTTCCTGTCAGCAAACAAATGTTTTGCTGGTCCTCCCGTCTATCTGTAGGGGATGTGGAAAGGTTTCCTGGGTCCCAGGTCCAGCAATGTCTCTCACTTGCATCATGGTCCCATGCTAGCATGAAACACGTCTGTAGTCTTTCCTCTCCTGTGTATGTCCCTTACAGCACAGGCACACAAGCCATAGGGGAGCTGTGGGGATTTCCAAGAGATCTTCTAATGTGGTTGGTTGAGGAACCAGGACTGGTGGCTCCAACCTGAGAATCTTGTGGAAGGCACAGCAGATAGGAGCCTCCTATTGGTATCTGCTGCTCTGTTACTTCAAGTGATAAGTTCTTTGCTGTCTGATGATATTCAGGCTGTGGTGTTGTCATAAACTATGTGTCTGTGTGCTTCCACACAAGAGCATTGTATTCATTTTACTTGCTTTTAAAATATTTTTAACTTTCTTAAAAATAACATTTTTAAAAAAAAGAAATTTACAACATCATGTTTCTAAAATAGGGCAAACAATAGTCGTGGAAATATTGTGTGTGCACTGCTGAAAGCAGAATATACAAAAGGGCCAAGCCTGTAGCTACACAGATAGAAATATAATTCTGCCAGTCTCTAAAGTAGGAATATTTGATTTCTTAACTTTGGTCTTCTTTTAAATCAAGTTTTAGTCTGATGACCACTAAGTTATAATGTTTTACATAGTTCTTTTGCACATAGCATAATTTTTATCCTTTGATTTCTTTCCTATTTGCTCACCATTAATTGTATTTATGTTTTAAGCCTTGTTAAGTATTGATTCAGAGGAAGTGTTATCAAATATGAAACATATTGTCAAAATCAAATAAGTTATCTCTTCAAAACACCAAAAGAGTATACATTTCCATCCATAGTTTGGCTAAAAACATGCAGAAGACAGTACTTTCTTATCAATATTTTATTTATCCAGAAGTAGCAACTTTGGAAGATTGCAAAAAAAGCTCTTGAACATTCTGGGGTACAAAACTCATTTTAAGAGACATCTTTTACTTCTGGATCCCTATTCTACATATAAATAACTAAAGAAACATTCCTTTTATTGATGCACGATTTTGACTTTTTGTTTCCCCAGCCATCATGTATGTAATGGGAGCGCTTGGTCCTGCAGCTGGCTACTTACTAGGAGGAGTTCTGATTGGTTTCTATGTTGATCCTAGGACAACCATTTATATTGACCAGAGTGATCCTCGATTCATTGGAAACTGGTAAGAGTCAAGTTTTTTTCAAAACTACTCTCTAAATTGTCAGCAGGGTGTTGAGGGAGGCTCTCCATCTCGACTGCTTGCTCAAGACTGGCAGGAAGCCAAGCAAGAGGAGATGCCTGTAAGTTACTGCACAGGCAGTAACTTACCCCATGGCAGAGGGGAAATTCTTGCCACAGAAGTGCATGGGCACAGTACGTGGAAAATCTCAGTCCAGGGCTGGATTGATATATGGAAGGTGGATAACCCCAAAGCAGGCAGGCAGAAGTGTATACTCCGTACTCCCCAGCTGAGGAGTGGTGAGCGTCATTTACCCTGGTCTAGGAAAAGGTGATAGAATGGTGTCAGGCTGGCCTTGCCAGTCTTGAGCCTCAGCGTGATGGCTCATGCTCTAGGGAGCTAACGAGGTAATCCACTAAATGATCCTCAAGTTCTTTGATCCTTACAGCTGCTGCTGAGGTGTCACAGCCATAATCATTCCTCAGCGTCTTTGGGCAGCCCTTGACGTGTGACTTTCTTGGAAAAGCCTTGTGAGGGAAGAAGGCACTAAGGTTTCCATCAGCTTTTCTGAGACAATTCCTAAATTTGGCTTGAAAATCACAAAAGCCCACTAGAAACTTAAATTCATTATGCCAAGAGGATAACTGTGTTGTGTTGGTGGCTCATTTCAAGCAGCATTTTAGTATCGTTGAATCATTTTTCTGACCCCCTAGAGAAAATCCAGAGGAGCTTGCCTTTGTTTCCACACATCTTGAATGTGGTTCTTCTCTGATTCTCAACTTAGATATGTTCATAACATGAAGCAGAAACTGAAACTCGGAGCAGAGCTCTGGTCAGGAGCTCCCGTTCAACTTCTTGATGTAACAGCCTGTCTTGGAGTCCTGTATGCTTCTGCTCAATGCAAACATCATGGAGCTATTCCAGTAGTTTTAGTCACTGAGGTAGCATTGAGTTCCAGTTCATGTGCATTGGATTAGTACCTATCACTAGTAAGTGTGAAATAATATACCTTCCTAGTAAAGCGCTTATTTCACATGTTTTTAAGCAAGTGCATGACAGAACGTCATTTTTATCAGCATCAGATCAGAACTTTTAAACAGAAATTGTGAACAAGCCCACAAATATATCTCTTAGAGTTAGTTGGGCCATATGAATGCGGAAAAGCTTTACTTTTGATTTTATCTGCAACGCAACCACCAATGTAACTGCACTACAGAGTGAGAATATCCATGTGAGTTTTAAATTAAGCTTTGAGAACACCAGCTGTACCAGGCCCTGCAAGCAAACTAGTGGAAAGAGCTTAGGTTGTGCATTTGGAAGATTGTTTGTCAAACTGATAAATGGATTTTATGTATCTCTGGGATTTCATGTCACCCCATCAAGTCTTGTGGTGATTTAATTATTTTGCTGGGGTGCCAGCAATATTGATGCAAATACGGTTCAAGCAAGGGCAGGAAATTGCCAGGCAATGGCTCTCAGCAGGCCATTCCCACTTGAGCCAGCATAGGCAAGTAAAAGCTGTTCAGAGTTTCCTCTTTATATCACAGTAAAGAAACTAGCTGCAATTAATCCCCGATGGATGTTCCAGGTAATTTGTCTTAGTCTCTCATTTTTGCTTCTCTATTATTTTTTCTCTCCTAACTTTCTAATGAATATCCCCTGATACCCGATTTCCAGAAATTTGTTTCACAGTCCGTGGCCTCCACTAAAAGTTAAGTGGTGTTCACAGCACTTGTGCTTCATTCTCTTTTCACTTTGTGAAACTTATCTTTTTATCTTTTATCTGCTCTTTAAAATCAAGATTAGTGGTGTGAGAATTGGTCCTGGATCTCTAATAAATTGCCTGGCTGCAGAGAGCTCTGGAAGTGTAGCATTTCATTCCATGGAAATCTCTTTTCTGGGACCTTGACATTTTCTCTTCGCAGGGAAGTGCCGCATAGCCAAGTTTATTTTTATTTGTGTCATCTCGCAAATTGAAATACAAGACTAATCTAATGCTTACTTCAGAGAGCTGTCATGCTTTTCAAAAGAAGGGCGCAATTACAGTAAGCTAATGGGCAGTTATATTTAAGATTTCTCAGCCTTGTCTCCTTTGAAGTGAATTAGTGTCTTTGATTCTCATCTTTCCCTTATTATAGCTGTAGAGTTTCTGACTTCACTTATCTCAAAGACTCAAGGTTATGATTACAGACAAAGCAAGAAGTACATCAACTGTGATAGATGGCAGCAAGTATTGCTGCAAAGCCTATTTTTCACTTAAATTGTTCCTTTCCGACAAGTATATTCTATATATGTAGGGAACAGACAATTTGATTTATCTTTTGTGAGTCCTGATAAACACAGTAAGAGTAATTTTTTATGTTCTGTTTCTGGTCTGATTCTCCCTTGAGTTTCACAAAAATTGGTTTTGCACAGACCTGCATTTTTTAATAGTTCTTTGTAGGTGCTCTGAGCTAAATTACAGATCAAGTTCCTCTGCAATCCCATCAACAGTTTTAAACTGCTTTATATTCAAATATGGTAGCTGTAAGGAATGGCTTAGATATCTGCTAGAAGTCACCCATCATGTTGTTGTCCTCAGGAGCTGCTAGTGTACGGTGTTGGGATCAAATTAATTGCAGAGCAGCCCTTGGCAGTCTGTCAAGCACTTTGAATTAAATTTTCTTTTGCTGACACTTTTCTAAGTGCTTGCCTAGTTCTGAATCCATTCAGTGCTTGGATCTTCTCATATTATCTTTCATGGCTGCTCCACACAAGAAGTTAAAAGGAATTCCTTGTGCACTGTCTGGGCCTTCTTTAGCTTTAATTGCTTCCATTGGAGGTCCTAGTGCTTGTGCAGATGCCTTTGAGGGATTCCCCTGCATATTTTCTTTGACTTTGAAAAGCCCTTGATTTCATATCTTCTAATTAATGTAGATCCCACTCCGACCTCTCACTTCCCGTCATAAAAGTTCTTGTTATTTCTGATATCCCCTTTTGTCTGCTTCTTTGATACCTCTCCAGTAAGACAAGAAGTGTAGGCAGCGCTCAGTGTTGCATACAGCGCTGCATTTCTGACATCTCCAGCACTTGGTATGCTGCCAGAAAGGTCCCTTTGGGTTCCAATTTCATTCCCTGCTACATCAGAGGCCCCGTTTCCTTCGCTGCTCCCTGCTGAGTGGGTGGTTTCAGATTGCCGGGTATTACTGCCGCACATTGCTCCTTTGATCAGTGCTTTGCTGCTTCTGCCTCCAAGAGCCTGAAGGGAATGTTGCTACATTTTTTAATGCAGCATGCCAATGTATTCCCTGTCTGATAGTGCTGAGTAATCCTCCTAAAAGTCTGGTTTGTAATCCCTGTATTTTATCAGCTAAAATGAGTGAAGAGAGGATTTTCTGTTTACATAATACCAAAACTGGTCAAAACTTTCATGCACTCTAAATTTGACTCACAAAAGATTCCTGCGCTTTTTTTTTTTCTAATAAAAATGGTGGTACTTCCAATGTGGGTTTCTAATGTGAATCATGTTTTCGATGCATTGGATGACCGCTGTGAGTAAATTCTGAGGCCTTCCTTCTTTATGGAAGTGTCAGTGTGAGCTTATCCATGTTTCCTCTGTATTCTTTCATTACAAGATGAATTTAGGGGAGAATATTCTTTAGAAAGGCCCTTGTGCAGAAAGGCCCTTCTAGAGTATTCTCTAGAAAAGCCCTTGTGCCCACAGTCATTGCTGTGGTAAACTGAGGTAAGGGTCTTGCCTTCAGGGCTGGTAACTCTTCTTTTACCCTGTGAAGACACTTTCCTAGTATCCTGCACAGTGCCAGTACCCTCTTCTATGATAATTAGCCAAGCAAGACAGAGAGATACTGAGCTTCTACTGGTTTAGGACTTGGGAGTAAATAATAATCAAAGGGGAAAATTTGAAGGAACTCGAAGAAGGCAGTATTTGATGACAGTTGCTGATTTCTGGGTACCTTTATCAATAGAAAAGTCAACAGAAGTGTCTTTTAATGAAGGGTTCTAATGCAGTGAAGTCTCTTCCCTGCTCCAATTATTTAGTTTAATTTCTGTGTTATATATTTTACAAATGTTTCTTTCTAACTAGTAGAGCCTATCGTAATCACTGTGATGTTTTTATTTCGTGTCATGCATTGGCTCTCACTTCTCTCCCTATCTTCTGGCATTAGGTGGAGCGGATTTCTCCTTTGTGCCATTGCAATGCTCCTTGTGATATTCCCAATGTTTACCTTTCCAAAAAAGCTCCCTCCTCGGCATAAAAAAAGGAAAAAGAAAAAGAAGATGAACTCTGATGATGTTTCAAGTGAGGATGAAGTCATGAAAGAGAAAACAAATAGTAAAATACACGCAGACAGTGCCGTTCCTGCCTCTATGGGATTTGGAAAGAATGTTAAAGGTGAAGTTTGCTTTTAATTTTTAAATGCTTCAAATTTCGAGGTCATCTTGTAGGACTGTATGAGTGTAACTGAAGGCAGAATTCTGTCATGTTCTATTCCATATTGTGTTTTGCTGTTGAAAGAGGTTGTAATAGGTTGTCCTTTTTTGAATTCACCAAATGCAGTTCTGAAGATAAGACTTCCTTTTACTCAAACTACTGGAGTGCATTTAATGTGCACTTTTCACAAATAGGCAGCCTATTCCCTTGAATAAGCTGCTGCACTTCCTTCCATGCTCTGCTCTGTGCCTGTCAGATGGTTGTGTGATACCTGTTCACAACACGACTGTGCACTTAGCAGTGTGTAGTTGTCGCATGTTCCTAAGCTGTCCCTCAGAGAATGAAGTGTTCTTCTCCCACAACCTAGGCAAAACCAATTCTAGTACATGGGTTATTTTATGCATTTGGACATATTAATACAGAAATATCATTTTAGCTCATATGTATTTCACGGCAGTTGTGCATTGCAAGTCATTTATTTTCAGAAGGGTAGCGTGAATAGTAATAGGGATTTTTATGTTCTATATGTACAAATATTAATGTGAAATCTAATAGTCAGCACTAATCATTGTTACAATGCTATGGGGAAAACGGCAATGTTAAAAACTGAATTAATGATATGAAGCATATGAATTTGGAGCTGACAGTATAGTCTTTACAGTGTCGTAATACTGAACAGTACAGGACAAGAATGAATTCACCTTAGTGCTGTTGTGTTATCAATACTGTTGAGTCCTACTTGGTTTCCCTGACATGACTGCTGGTTTGTGGTAGCTGTGACTGTGTTTGTGGTAGCTGATAAATATGGTGGAACTAATTAAAATCATGAAAACTGTTATATTCTGAGGTGTAGACATAACTCAAACTTTGACTTTTGAACTCAAAACTTTGGGTTTGTTTATTGACACGAGTCAGTGTTACCTTTAGAGGGATATCAATATGGTTGACCAACTTTTTAATGATACGTTTATGATCCCTTCTTTTATCTAGTAGCCAACACTTACCACCATGAAAAACAGTTTTAAGTAATGTTTGCCCACATACATACAGGTCTACTTTGCATTGCATACTGATACTCTTAGGAAAACTGAAGTTATTGTCTGTTTCTATGGAAAATTACAAAAAACAGATACCATAAATTATATTGTGCTGATTTTATTAGCTCAAATAATGGCATCATAACCAACTCTCACAACAAGCAGGATAAACCTGCGATATTAGATTCTGTAGGACCTGGTCCTCTCTTTGTTTCTTGGTGGAACATAATAGTTCCTGGTACAGTCATCAATCCAGACTGTCTCAAGGAGTTGTGCATTGAGAGGAAGAAGGAAATGTTGTGTACTACTTGCTTTGAAGACTGTACCCCTGTACTTGTGACTCATATAGTGTTTTCTCTTAAATTCATAAAGCTAGTTGGTTTGTTTTGTGTTCAAACTTAATAGCCTCCATTTGCGTTCAAACTTAATAGCCTCCAAACTGTCAAAAGTACTTCTGGAATATTCCTACTACACTAATTTAGGGAAGTGCGAAAGAGGGGCTCAGAGCCCCTTCCGTGGTTTCCTGACACACTCATTCTGTAGGAATACAGGTTTTCAGGTAAGCTGTGTGTCTGGATGAGTTCACTCATGCTGATTCTCAACTTCCATACATAATTTCACCTTCCAGATTATGTTGTCTCACTAATGGCTGAGCAGATGTACACAAATCAACAAATACACTTTTCAGATAATTTTTCTAGTCCCTTTTTCCCCCCCCCCACAGGAACCACAACTTCTGTACATCTGTTTTTAGTTTGTGTTTCTTAGGTATATATCAGCCTAAATGTATGCCACACCTTTTATTAACAAATTCCTATATGAATATTTTAATGACAGTCCCAATATTATAGTTTTGCATTTACAACCCTTTTTATTTTCTCCAGAGGAGAAGCTTCACTGTCTGGAAAACGGCAGTTAAAAACAGCCGTGTAGTCCACATGTTAGAAAGATACCAAGCAAATGTAGGTAATACAATGAGAAGTATTTTGCTATCAGCTGATAATAGCTTTCCCATTAGGTGTCGTTTACCCTGGCAAAAAGCAAGCTTGCACTATCATTTAATTATTTTTCATGTTGAAGTGGGTTTTATGGAATGAGATCATGCCTCAAGTATCTCAGTTGAGGTAATTTCACTCACAATGGGAATGAAAAAGGAGTCACGTGGCTAAGTCATTTAACATTGTTTCTTTTGAGCTAGGGTGTGCATTTTGTACTTCCCTTTGAATTTCAGGGCCTCATATTATGCCAAATTATTTTATAGAAAGATGGGCAGAAACTCTACCTAGGCAGTAGCTGGGAGACTGATGATTTAGTAAGTCGCCTTTTCTGTTCTATACTTCTAAATATCACTGATACGGTATTCTGCTAGGAATTATTTTTTTCCTTATTTATATGGAAGTAAACAATTTAAGAGGAAGAATGCTTTTGAGGCAGGTATCAAAAATTAGGATATAGGAGTATGAAAATTGGAATGGAGAAATGAAGGTAGTATAAAAAATGTGAGCTAGTGGAGGTGTGTAATGAAGAAACTATGGTTTAATCCCATAGGCACGGATAAAACATGAACTTGAGCAGAGAGAAACACAGTTTTCCTTTATTATGTGGATACAAAATAAAACCCTAGGATTTTGTACCAGGGAAATGAATATATTACTCACCTGAAATGTGCTGATCTAAACTCTGAATGGTCTTTGCTTTTCTGAAAAAAAATGGCTGTTTGGTGCTTATATAGATATAAGTAAACCAATATCACCCCGAGCTATTTCTTAAATGTGGAATTTCCTTGTCTACCAGCCCAAACGCTGTTCCCAGCCAGGTTGTACTGGGGTAAAGGTACAGAGATAATTTAGTAAATTTAGTAAAAAAGAGATAATTTAGTAAGATTCAGAAGAGCAGGAGGAAGATACTGGTCTATGTGCAAATCCTTGTGGAAGCTGATTGAATGAGATTGCTTAAATGTTATTTGTGTAGAAAATGAAACACGTGTGGCAAAGTATTATTCTAGAATGAATGCCTAGACCTGATTGATTATGTTTTAAGCAGTATGTTTAAAATATTAATGTGTGGCTGAAAATGTGTATTCCCATTCTCATAAACAAAGTGGAAATTCCATCTCAAATATTGCCTTTGCCTTGTAGTCTGCAAGAGCAACAGCTATTTCTGAGGGCTTCATCTGGATTCAGCCTCCCTCAAATCTGAAGACTGGGATAGAGCTGTAGGGGCTTGACACAAAGGGGGTCCTTGGAATAATTATCTGTAATATCTGCATAAGGGGGTTTCTTGAGGGACTGGACGAAGATAGTGCTGCAGACTGGGATATTTTATTACCTGTTTTATTACATTCATGCACCACTTTTGGCTAGATAACAGGAATAGGAATAAAAGAAAATACATTAAGAAAAAGGAGGTAAAGTTGGAATTATTTGAGTTTTTATTGAAATTTTGTTACAATGTTTTAAGAATTTTATACAGTGTCTACAAATATGTGCCTTGTTTCATATTCTCCTCAAGTTATACTGCCTTTCCCTTGCAATGAGTCCAGCAGTGGTGCAGTACAGCAGTGACAGAAAACAAATGCTGAAAATGCAAGAAAACTTATGTTTTGATCAAAGATCAGGAAGGGAATCAAATTACCAACTAGTCAGCAGAGCAATCCAGCAAGGCAGGTTCCAAGTTATGCTTAAAAAGTTACTATATATATTTTTTAAAAGAAAAATGGGAAAGTTTAGCCTTTGAATTGCTGTACAGCAGAGCAAGCATGTTCGAAGTCATATTAGAAGATCCTTTCAGTTTTCAGAATGTAGTTGATAGGCACTTGCTCAAATGACAAAATGATGGAAACTGCAAATTCTCACAGTTTTCTTTCTCATGTATATTGTAAAAGTGACAGATGACGGGTCTGTTAGAAAACCACTGAGCCCTAGAGGTTTAATAATGACCTTGAAACAACAGACTAAGCCTATGGCTGATTGATAGACCTTACAAAAAAAACATGACATTGAAATGTTTTAAATGCATGGAGGGTTATGTAGTACAAAACACTGGCTCCTTAAAGTTGCCAGCCCTCTTGCTTCTTAAAATTAGTGTGCTTGGAAAATGTAAGATATGTTATGTCTCTTTTCATTATATATATATATGTATATTTTAATGAGAAATCTAATAAAGATTCTGTTACACAAGATTTTACTGTAATCATACAAAGAAAACAGGGAAAACCTAATTATGAATGTGTATTTTTATTAATATTTAGTATCTTTTCCCCGTATGCCAGTCAGCTCCCCTTTAGAAGTCTCAGAGAGGATCAACTC